GAAACCTTGGCAGATGTTGTTCGTGTTGGTGGGGTGGATTAGGGATAGGAATGGATTCTTGGGCATTGTTTCATATGGATCATGTTAACTAGTTGCTGGGATTATAGCTTTGATTAATTCTTTTAGTTCAGCTAATACATCCTGGACCTTCTCCCAGACAGGCTCAGTGAGAAACTAAGAATTTAGCTTATGTATTTCTCATACATAAGTGTCTTCCTTGTTGAAAAATGGCTGGGAATTCACACAGTAGAGAAGCTTATGTAATGTCTTTTTCTGAGCAGTCAAAGCTGCAGCCTGTGCCATTTCTCAGGTTGCCTTTGGAGATCCTTATTGCTCTGGACACACGTGTTTGCTTTGGCAGATGATGTGTTTGATGTGTTTGTCCACATGGATTCCTGTTGTCACAGAGGCTCCAGAACGTGTAATGTGGCTCTTTGTTTAATTATGTGTGGTTTCTGTGTGTGGCTGAAAACCAAATAGTTGATGTTACCATTAAAACTGATGTGTAGAAGACAAATGATGATAAGGAAAGTTTTAGATAAGTCATTAAATATAGCAAAGGATATTATAGACCAAAGGATATTATAGGCTTCCATCTGTGTGTTATCATTATGAAAGTGAAGCAGATAGTGGGACATGAGGTGTGGGGTGTCTTTCTATTAAAAGACAACTATTCTCTCTCTCTCTTTCACTCTGTGTGTGTGTGTGTGTGTGTATGTATGTCTGTGTGTCCGTGTGTCTCTGCGTGTGTGTCTGACTCTGTATATGTATGCATGTATATTCATATGCTTTTATATATTTTCTTTATTGAAGAGGAATGCCTATTTACTACGTATTGATGTTTTCTTACTACATAGTTCTCCAATTGTATCATCTATTTACTGTCTCAAGCCAACTTATAATGATTCATGATATAAAAATAAGTAATACATAGTTTCTTACAAGCCGTCCACAGCAGGGTAGGCAGCAAAGTTGGCTCTGGGGAGAGTCCGCTTACCTCTCATCCTTCAATTCCCAGCATAGCCTTTAAGTGGAGGCTCTGCAGCTTTCAGTATGGGAGGACAGAGCCTCAGGATCAGGCTTCTCTATTGGGCCTGCATGCCTCATTCCTATGAATCAGTTCACTCCTAGGCCAGCCCTGTGCCTTCTCCACTCTCCACAAAATCCGCCTCTATTGACATCTTCCTCCTTTGCAAAGGCAAAAGTTATTATGAGCACCACAGAAGGTGTGTAAGCATACGCTGGCTACACTCCTTCTCACTCACCAAACCCTTGTTTGCCCATCAGTCACTGCGTGAGATACTGCTTATCTAAACACATTGCACGGACTGTTTATACCATTATTCCTATCATAGGGGCCTGGCCAAACGAGCAGGAGATCAGACCACCTTGGCTTTTCTTCTGGCGTGCTCTGCTCTGTTATCGGGAATGGAAGCTATAGTGTAAGAAAGGATCTGCACTGCACAGTCACGAAGTCTAGGTCTAAGCTCTTCCCATGTACTCGGGTGTTTCCCAGAGATGGCAAATTCAGAAACTGCTGTGCATTCATCATTTTTATTGCAAAATTCATTAAGCTGCCATGCTATTATCATCCTATCTTGTCAAGATGATGCATTGCAGACTTCATTGCAAAACTCTAATGAGCAGAGGAGAGTGTTCCTCTCTCCCAGCTATAGCACGAGAATGCCTCTGGGGGGTTTTGCTTGTGCCTCCCTGTACTCTGTGTAAAACTCTGGGTCTTTGCAAAGCTGCTGTCTGGTAACTCCCTTTTCTCCTCATGTTTGAGTGTGAAGAGGGGTGAGGTTGGAAGATTTGTCTCCGTGCAGAGTCATGGATCCTCTGGTTTTTTGATGTTGTGGAAAAATAACATGTTAGCCCAAATTTTGGCAGGCTGCTGCAGAGGGGGAAATGTCCTGTGAAGTGACAGGGATCTGTGTTTCATGTTTACCTTTCAGTTCTCTGTGTTCAGAGGGCCAGACAAGTTCAAGCCTGCCAAGACCTGTGCATTTGGCTTGGCTCAGTGATAAACAGACCCCACCTCCTGTGTTGGATGGAGTTGCCATTAGAGTGAATTGGAGACACTTAGTAAATATGAAGACTGCAGGAGCTTAGCTTCCTCGTTTCCATGGCAACCCCAGAACAAGTACAGCATCACCAAAATTACTCTGTGGCTTTCCATTTTTAGATGTAGTGATTTGGTTGCATACTTGTGTTTTCCACTCCTGATTTGTACAGAAAACATAAATGCTGCCCACAATCTCCAATGCTTTGGTTTCAAGGTCCCTGCCTGAAGCACCTGCAAAATTCAGTTCCACAAAACTACCTCTCTCCATTCCAGCAGAAGAAATTTTGATTGCATATTATTCTCTTACTTAATGTGTGGCTATCCATGAGCCTTTGGTGTGCAGAATGCATGGGCTATTCATCAGAAAAGTAGGTGACCTCTGACCTCACAGGTCATTTTAATAGACACTGTGTAGGCAGATAGCCTATGCTTACATTTGAGTAGTTTGTGTCATTAAGGACCAAGTCTATATCTACTGTCAGTGCTTTAAATTAGATTTTCATGAAAGCATGCAGCACATTTCAGATTCATATTTGTAACTGTCACTTTACCCCATTTCCTCGTCTCTGTGCTCTGGCTTTTGGTGACTGATACACAGGCATTCACTGACAACAAATGTGAGGAGGGAGAGCATTCTTACCAACTCTGGCTAGCCAAGGAGCACCCCTGAGAGCATGATTCATAACTAGTGGCTGCTCTCATTTGAAGTTGACTAGCATGTAACCCCCTTTCCTCTAGCAAGCTAGATGGCCCAATTCTAGCCTCTGACGGGGCTGCCAGAGCTGGCCTGAGTCATCCTGGACTCAAGAGTCCAGCTCCCTATGTGAAGGGTGCTTCCTTTTCATCCTGAGGACAGACGACTTCAACCCTTTATCTTCACTCTCAGGGGCAGGTACTCATTTGCCCACAGAGGATGTGGCCTCCTGTCTTAAGTGGCATGACTAAGTCATTTTCCTTTTATTCCCTAATTTATTCCAAATCCCCTCAAGTTTGTATTGGTGTCTTTGGCAGAACCACTGAATCATCCAGTTTGCTTTTGATTTTACTTCCCTGCCCTTTCTCTGGAGCTATCTTTACTTTCCTGTCCACCTTCCTACTTACTATCAAGACTGTCAGCATATCAGAAAACTTTCTCCTTAGTAGTTCTCAGTTGTCTCCTCTGAAGTTTTGGGGTGATGAGGCTTATACCCCTTCTGCTGTGGTGTCGAATCTGCTTCCTCAGCGGTCACTAGTATATGATGATGCAGGAGTTCTTTTTCTTCTTGGTAGTAAGTCCCTACTCACTAGCCCTGTTAGTCCTCCTCCTCCTGCACTCTTCCCTTCCCTCTTCCCTTATTTCTCCTCCTCTTCTCTTCCCTCTGTCCCTCCCCTCCCCTTCCCTCACCACTGAGCCACCTCTCCAGCCCCCAAAGGACAGAGGTTTTTTATGCTCTCATGCCTTAATTGACTAAAAGAGACCTGAGTTCAGGTGTTCCTCTGTAGATGCGCATGTCTGTCTATCTGCTGGAGATAGAGCATGTCTCTAACTTGTATGTGAAGGATCCAGAAGAATTGACCCACTTATTTCTCGACAAATGAAATAATTGCCAGCAAAATCAGTTGATTCCACTCCAGTGTGTCGAGAATGAGGGAAGGGACAGACATTCCGGGTCTGTCACATGCTGCCCCACCATGGTCCCCATGCCATTTAGCTGCATCATTCCCCCACATCTGTCAAGTCTTGTGTCCAAGGCTTTTAAGATGAGAAGAAACAGAAAGTTCTTCTCTTTGAGTGGTATTCCAATGTTTATAAAACACATTCCTGCGTATGATCCCACTTGATCCCCAGGACAGCACATGAGCTATTCAGGGCGGTCCTCACTCTCCCCATTTCACAGATTTATCCACATCCGAGGCTGTAGCAACTGTTCAGTGGTTACAAGCACGGGTTGCTCTCACTGAGAGCCTGGGTTCAATTCCAAGCACACACATGGGATTGGAGGAATCTATCAGGGCATGCATGTGAGGCACAGGCTCACATACAGGCAAAGCAACCATAAACACAAAATAAAAATTAAAAAAGTCTTAAGCTGAAGAAGAATCTGAGGTCCCATGGGATGGATGTCCCTGAGGTCACATTGCCAGTCACAGGCAAACTTTTGGAGATACTTTGGGTTCCCATTTTCTGAGTTGGTAATAATTAGTAATTTCCAAATATGAGTGTGTGGCTTGTACCGTGGGTTCAATTTTTTGTATTTCATTGGCAGACAGTTGTGCAGCTCTTACATCTCTGTTTATTACCTTAATTTACCTTGAAGCTAAACCTCAGATGTGCGACTCCAGAAGTAGACTGATGTTTCTAGGGTGTAGCCAGCAAGTTAGCCTGGAAGTTGATGACCAAATTGATATTCTGTGTTGATGCACTGTAGATCTGACCTAAGCAGTCAGGCAATGTTAGAGGCAGGAGTTTTAGAAGAAAGTATGGCAAGGAGTCTATGAGGGTCTCTCTGTGTCCTCATCATCTGTGAATCAAAAGAAGGCACAAGTTAAGATGAAGTGGTATGTTAATGTCTTAGAAGGAAAGAGCCGGACATACTACAGGTGGGGTTACAGCTCTTCAACACAAGAAAGAGCCTTTGTTTTAAAGCAATGATCTACCCCTCCCCACACACACATTGCCACTCTTAACTTGTATCCTTTTCTATGACCCATTTTTTATTATATGGCTGACTTGTTCATTTTCGCCAAGTCGGCACTGAACTAATTCTTCTGCCTCTACTTTCTGAATATTAAGAATACAAGCACGTGCTACTGTGCCTGGCTCCTGTGTGCCTGTATTCAAAGCATCAGATATTTTAAGTTAGTCTCCATATTTGTAAATTGGTGTATGGATGGGAGCAACCTCTCCCTATTCTATTAACATTCATATGGGCCTTTTTGTCATTTTTCTCTGCAGAGGAGCAGAGGAACAGCATCATCAACTCCAGTTTGGAATCAGTCTCCTCGAGTGCAAACAGCATCCTTAACTCTAGCAGCAGCCTGCAGCCCAATATGAATTCCAGCGACTCAAACCTGGATGTAGTCAAGCCTACTCGGCCCAATTCACTGTGAGTATGATAGCCCACATCTCCTACCCACTGGCCTCCAACATCTGTCCTACCAGAATTTCCCTGGCTCAGCCTGACTTTGGGTTATTGTTCCATGAACATGATTTCCACCTTCTCCCTGAGCTTGGAACTTGCCTGATTTGTTGTGATTCTTTCTTAAGCATCATCAGCACAAAGGAGCGTCTTAACATACTGCTTCTTAGCCTTGATCTGTGAAGCGCTATTCTGCTGAGATGGCTTTGCTGATGCTGTTGCCTGTGCTAGCTACGTGAAAAGCGATTTTCTTCAGTGTTACAACATCAAGGAACTTAGCAGATGAGTAACTGAGTCCGTTTTGCTCATTCATGTTGTCTCAGTTTTCCATCCCCTGACAACGCTGGCGATGTTTGATGCTACTTCTGTGTCTGCCTCCATACAGAAGAGTGCTTGGTATGGAGCAGCCCTGTGTGTCTTCTCATTATCAAACTTTAGTGTAATTGTGACCTTTCACTAGGGACTATAAAACGAAAGAGTCATTTCAGTTTTTATTCCATCCGGGGCTTTGAGCATTTGTAGCTAAGATAAAGTATTGGGGATAGTTGTCCAATCCTCCCCAGAAACTATTCAACCAGGGCCGGAAAGCTCTGTCTTGTGACTTCAGCACACATTGCTCAGCATGCTTCTTAGACCACCCTATAAATCCTGTCAGCTAGGATCTTTTTGGAAAGAATGTGAGATTTGACCAGAGCAGCTGGACGCTCAGCCGCCAGCTGTAGAGGAGTCAGGAAGCTGTTGACTTCGCTTTTCTCTAGTGAAAACAGATTGAGCCTCAGCCCCAGGCTATTTGCAAGCAGTTATTTCTCTTGGTTAGACACCAATTTCAGGATGACACAGGACAGCAGCACCTTTTCCCTGTTCCTCAGCATGGTGTTCTGTGATAGCATCCTAAGGTCCCCCTGGACTTCAGATGTATGTGCCATCCACAAAATGGGCCCAATATTGGTTCTAGAACAAACTAAGGGTTATTAAACGCTTAAGGAGAAAAACAACTCCGAAGCAGCCTTCTAAAGTGTTTATAATAAGCATGTAGCCACAGCCTGAGGTGAAATCTAAAACCAAGCAAGGTAGGGCTCATCGTGGTTGTGAGCAGCTTAAGTCACGACATCCAGGAAGTCTAATTGCCTAATTGCTGTCGTTCTGTCTCATGCATAGTGCGTGTATTCACCACGGAGTTGACCAGTGTCTCCAGAGCATAGAGTAGTTGAAGTTCTCTGGCTTGTATACAGTCTCCTGTGCTTCTCTATAGCTGGACTTGCTATATGCCTTCTCGAGCTCTTGTGCACATGCTTCTCCAGCCATTAAATAACTCTTTCACCCCTATAATACCACTCTTCTCCCTGCTTCTTCCTCCTACCCTACTCCTTCCTTGGTCCTCTCAGCTCCTTTTTGTTTAAATCGGTGAACCTAGCATATGTTACAGCTATTCCTTGTGTGGTATGAGCGTCGCTGAAACACTATCTGATTTTCCCAACCAACACCAACCAGTGGTCTTTAATCTTTGTTTCTAGCAGCTGGTAGCTTCAGCCCCTGAGTCACCACTGAGTACAGCATGTACCAAGAGATAGTTTAGCAGCTAAATGCAAAGGGGATATGTCTTGTAAGCCGAGCTGGAGGAGGGGCCTTGGAATATCTTGAGGATATCTGTATGTGATTGAGTTTTTATCATTTAGTGTGATCATTTAGCATGAAATCCAGAGTTATTCATCGATTGGTTGATTGGTTGATTGATTGATTGATTTCCTAGTTTAGATTCAGGGCTTTTCAGTGAATGGAAGGTGACATCAGGAATAGTTGTACCTGCTTGTCTTTAGAAGAGGGTGGAGTACAACTCTGACTCTATCTCGCACAAGACTGCTGTCCCCAAGCTGAGCGAGTCACTGGCTCATTCCTGTGGATCTGGAGGTTAGAAAGAAGATGTAGTGGACTTGCCAGCAGGGTACCCAGCTTTCTCTTTCCTCTATGAAGGCTATGCCAAAGTCTCTAGGAACTCTGCAGCACGTTCATTGGCCATTTGCTAAGTCCAAAACATGTCCTTGATTCTTGCCTTCGAAGCTTTTCAGCCTAGAATTGGCCTGGGTAGACCACAGATGGCAGTTAAGTAGTCCTGACAAACGAAAGTCACTGCTTCCCTTGAGTAAATTGACTCTCAGATGTCTGTCGGCACACTGTGCTGTGGTGCCTGGGCTGGGTCACAACCTACCCTTCACTTCTCCCAGCCTTGTTTCTTCTGAGCTGTTTGGAAGCATGTGATGCAGATGGAAACAAAAATGTGGCTGATGTGGGGGTGGAGATTATCATTCATCTGCCTATTGATTAGGTATAATGTAAGGATCAAGTCACCAGGAAACTACTTGCTCTTTTTAGTTCACTCATCTCCCCCCACCACCACCATTTTTTCCTAACATGCTGATTGATCATCATAACCATGTAGAAATCATAATGAAAGAAACATGTTTATTACTCATAATCTGTTACTCAGATGCCACAGCTAGTTCAGGACATGGAGGCCTCTTGTTGGTGTGAGCATAAAGCTCCCTTGAACATCCAAGTCAGCGTTGCCAGCAGTCTACCCATCCTAGGACATGGCTGCTGTGTGTCAATCTTGGGCAGCTCCTCACCTAGCTTCCTGCAGTAGCCAGGTTTCTCCCGAGGACCAAAGGGCAGCTGATAATCTAGCAATAATGTCTAGCTGGTCTGCAAATGTCAGCAAATCTTGTTGAGCCTATTTTGTGCCCAGGCCTCTGTAAAGCTACTTACGGTAAACCAGAAGAGCAGAATTCTTGCCCTTCCTGAATTTACACTCAGACTGAGAAGGGTAGACAGGACATGGCAGAGCTGCATGGGACTTGCAGCTCGCAGTTTCAGAGTCAGTGTAATCTGAGTATTTGGTCACATCCATCAGGTGGACGTAATGAGAAAAGAGAGGTAGAGAAAGTATGAGCTAGGCAGGTGGGCAGATCTAGGTGGATGTGACAAGGAAGTCCAGTTAATCCAGCATGGACTGACAGCCTACGGACAGGCGTGCTGGAGGGAAGTGGCTGGGTTGGGGGAGGCAATTAGCCACCCTTTAAAGCCAAGAAATTCTCTATATAAAAAAATCTATATTTCATTCTGGGCATGGACATTAAAAACAAAACATTATCCTGACATAAATCTTCTACTTTCACATACATTAACTTCAAGTGGATTGTCAGTCTGAGCATAGAACACAAAGCTCTGAGGCACCTGGATGACCTTGGCAGTGGTGATAACTTTTCCCAGATGCGTGATATGTGAAAGGAAACATTGTTGCTACAACTTCCTTTAAACTAAAACTTATTTTAAAAAACTAATAAAGCTAAGAGAACAAGGAATAAATTACGGAGTAGAAAAAAAATTGTGAAGCATGTATCTGATAAAGGATTGGTATCCAAGACACACAAAGATCTCATAAAACTCAAGGGTAAGTAAAAGGCAAACACAACAAAAATATGGACAAGAAATCTGAAAAGATACCTCCCCAAAGACGAACAATCAGATAGCTAATAAGCAAATGGAACCATGTTTCCATCATATGTCACAGGGAAATGAAAGCCAAAGATACTGCACTCGTCAACACAGCCAACATCCCAGAACAAACCCTGTCAGTGAGGATGGCAGAGGCAGCAGCTTCCACTCACTGCTGGTGGGAACACAGGGTAGCACGTTCACTTGGGAAGAAAACCTTGTGTCTCTTATGAAATTAAGCATACTTTACCATATGGCCTAAGTAAGGCTTCTCAGTGTTTCACCAAGCTGGATGAAAACTTACAGACACAAACATCCACCGGGGATTTTTAACAGGCTGATTCATGACTGCCAAAGCTTGGAGGCAATGGGGAGATCTGTCAGTAGATAAGGTAAAAATCTATTGACATATACTTTTTAAAGTACAAATTTTCAACTTCTTTTCAAAAAGAAGAAGACTATCTGCATGTAACCCATGTTAAACTTGACAGGAGATGGCCTGCTTCACTCCTTACCCCTCTACCTGTAGGCCTTTGATAGATTAAATGAGGGCCAGGATCTATGCTGCCCTTCTTAAAGCTAAGAGTCTGGAATCTGGCTATGCCTGGTGCCCCATAGGATGTGGTAAAATTGGCTCAGAATGACTTCCAAGCCTTGGCCAAAATGCCTCATAGCTCTCTATGTCTCGATCCTGGGACCTAGCTATCATGTACAGCAGTGGGTCTAACCTTGGGCATGACAGCTATCTCAGAAAGAAGCCAGTGTCTCATCTAACCCCACCCCTGGCCACCAGTCATTTGAATACAGGCACATGAATTAGTCTAGGCATGACTTACAACAAAGCTGCTTGTAGGTTTGTGATGAATCCTGTGTCATGGTTGTATTAAACCATTAAGTTTAAGAGTGGTTTAATAAACAGCAGTAGTTAACTAATGCAAGGCCTGTGGTTTTATCATCTAGTGCTGTGTGGAGCTGAGATACTTGGAGAGATAGAAACACGTGGAAACATTCTAGCTTGTAGCAGGGTGCTGTGTCTCAGATTTTAGAATCCAGTAAAGAAAATATCTCAAAATGAGATTCCAAGACAATAAGAAACAAAATAAAATCTGGGGCTAACAGTTGAAGCCAACAAGGAGGATGGCTCAACCACTGGGATGGAAAGTAAGAAACCTTAGATTTACATTCTGGCACCAATATAGATTGCCCCTGAGTGTCTACCCTCAGTCCTGGGGCCTTGTGGAAAAATGGGACCAGTGCACATCCAAGAATGCAGGTTATCCAGTAGGTGCTTTCAGGTGGCTCCCAGAGTAAACTCAATCCTTCCACAGTGATCAAGAGAGCTGGTATCTGCCCAGTGCTTATAAGAAGGCAGTGATGTTTTTAAAGGGAAGCAGACAAATACTGACTAACGCAGTACACACAGATTAATGCCCCCAGTTAGAAACTCCTAGGCACATCTTCTTTCAGACTGCACA